TATATATATATATATATATATATATATATATATATATGTTTAATTATTTTTTAAATAGTTAATTATTTCCCTCTAAAAAAATCGATTTACTATTTCAAGAAATAAATTTTACAATTTATAGTATATTTGAAATAATCATTTATAGAATTGCGGCTCATTATTTATGGTATATAAAGAAATCATTTTTAAGATATCTTAAGAGCATCTCCAATGTGAAGTTCGTTGGGCGATGGTTTTGAGATCGGTTCTGACGTCGAACAGATGTTGATTTAATAAAATGTTAACCACATCATCAAGTTAGAAAGTGAATAAAAAAATTACTCTCCAATCCCTAATGTTATGGGTTCTTTTATGATGACATGGAGAAATGAATTTCCAAAGTGTTAAGCTCACTTTCTAGTTTTCCAAAGAGTGTTAGAAAGCCATATCATAAAAAATCTAATCTATTTCACATTGATTTCATTTTTATTTTTTTTTTAGCTTATTTATTATAATATAAAATAAAATCCAAATGTACTTATTTTAAGCTTTTGAAAGGGATGCATTGGAGATGTGCATTCCAAATTAAAGTCTTTTCTTTTTGACATTTATATTACATGGATTTGCATTCCATTCATTATTTGACATGTGTTCAAATTTAATTAATGTTGAAAGTTGAGCATTGGAGATGCTCTAATTACTCAAATCATGTGAATTTGGTTGATTTACCTAAATATGGGAATTTCGGCTGCAATATCAATTATGTGATTTGGTAACAATATTCCAACTAAATTGTGTAATTAATAATTTAATAATGTTTTATATTTTTCGTGTAATTCTTTTGTGAAATGCATTTTTAATATACCTTAATTACGCAAATCATGTAAATCTAAATGATTTATTCAATCTGCAAATAATTACTAGAATTATGAAAATATCAACTTAAATAATCAATTATACAATTTGCAAAAAATTATTCTAAAAAAATTGTGTTAATGACAGTTGTTATTAAATATTATTTAATAATTGTTATTTATTTTTGTGTATTTAATTATTCAATTGTAGATAATTAAGGAATAATTAGACAATAAAATATACATTTTTAAGATTTCATAACTACACAGTAAATTTAGTTGATTTATTAAATAATACTTTTTTATAAAATTATTCCAAACTAATTGTATTATGGCATCTTCTATTTAATAGTTTTTAGTAACTATTTTTTGGGTCCTTGACTGTACGGGTCGTGTACTAATTTTAAATAGACGTACTTAATGTAATTTTGCACAATTTATATTTCATATAACATTTTCAACAAATTAATATAGGTAAGTTGTATTATATATTAATTCCATATTTTTTATTTATAAATATTATTAAATGAGTGTTTTTAATTTATAAATATTAAACAATATTTCTTACCCGTGCATCGCACGAGATTTGTACTAGTATATATAATAAGAATACCCATTTATCAAAAATAGTAGCGAAAAATAGGGGAAAATTTAATGAAATCCATAAATAGTAGTATATTTTATTATTTTATGTCACATATTAACTCCACATCTTAATTTATAATTATTAGTTAATATTGTAAATACTCATATTTAATTTATAATTTTTATTAATATTGTTTACCATCATTTTTATTGTATAACCGGCGCATCGCGCGCGGGCTATATACTAATTTTGTAAAGAGAGCTAAAAATGCTTGGACCGAGAAAAAATAGTCTTGCAACCATAATTGAACATCTTGTAAAAAGAGCTAAAAATGCTTGGACTGAAGAAAAGTAGTCTTGCAACCATAATTGAACATCTTGTAGACACAGCTAAAAATGCTTGGACTGAGAAAAGTATTCTTATTAGGAAAGTTTTATCCAGATTTCAAGTAAACAAGCCAGGGCCGGTTTTAGACCCGGTTTCGGGTCGGAACCGCCGGTTTAAGGCCAAGTGTTGGACGGCTTTGAATCGGCCCGAAGTAGGACAGTTTGGTGAACTGCCGATTTCGGACCGTCCCGATTCATTTAAAAAATCAAAAAATAATAAAAATTTAAAAAAAAAACAAAAATAATGACTGAACTGCCCCGACTGTTCTAAAAATAAATATACGTAGCCCAGAATCGGCCTGATTAAACCACGGGATCGGTTCAAGGCCCCTTGACTACAGGCCGGTCCCGAGCCGATTCGACCCGTGGTCATGTTTGTTTGTAAATGCATGTTGATAAACGGATTTGATCAACCTTTTTTGGTGTTAAACTTTGGGATTAATGCGGAAATGAAGCGATTTCATTTATTAAACGTGGGATATTTTATAACAGGTTCAAGTCGGTAGTTCGGACTTGAAGTCGGGTTTTCAGCGGTACGATCACGTTGTAATGGGCGGTGGACCGAGGTAATTAATACAGAATTTAATGTGTCGGAAAAAGATCCTCGTATCACGTTTAATGCTGCTATTTATAGTAACCGCGGGCTCGTCTTTTGAGGTGATACGGCGGCATTTAATACGGTATGACAGGGCGCAGGCTTTTTGGCAGGTGGGACCCCTCAGCAATGATGCTCTCACGTGGTTCTTTGACATCTGATGGACAGGCATTTAATGCGGCTGGTCGGTACCGACGTCAGGCGGCATTTGAGTTGCCTTTACGGGGAGATCGGCATCCAATAGTCGGTCTCCCGAAGTCGGTTCCCACAGCTCGGGGAGCTTCCTCTTCTCTCTCCTCGGCGCGATCCCTAATCTTTCCCATAACCCACGTGTCGATCATCCGATGTTAGATGAGGTTTTTATGTCAACAGTGCACTAGTTGTAATTTAATCGAAGCAAGCATCGAAATATCATACTTTTATTAATTTTGTTTTTTAAAGTATAAAAGATTAAAAATATAAGTAATGTGCAAATGGGTATATGTCTAAACATTAGGATGTTTATACTAAAAATCATATAACTTACAGTGGCTATCACAAACCAAAGTGCCAATGAGTATCAAATTTGAGCAAAACATCACTAAATAAAAAATTCTAACCGAATCGCAGTGCAGAAATGTCATACTTTTATTTACGTTGTTTAAAAGATATAATTGAATAAATCTTAGATGGATATACTAAGTAAATATCATGTTATGAACGAGTTTATTCTTCAATTTATCATTAAATCATACAAACTTGAGCAAAACATCAATAAATGAAAAATCCTGGACAAACTAGACCAAAGGACATCCATTACACGAGCTCCCCCAAGCGGCACTCAACAAGATGAGAGCCAACTCCTTCTTGATCCACTCGCTATCTTCCAACTCGACCCGCATCTCCCGATACTCGGCCACGACTGCCTCTTGAGCCACCGGACCTCGGCACAACGGGCATGTGGCCTTGCAATAACCGAGCACCCATTTCTCGAGGCATCGTCTGTGGAATGTGTGGCAACAATCCACCACTCGTCTCCCTTCCTCTCCGTCGACCAACTCCGACAGGCAAATGCTACACTCGACGACCGGCTCATTCTTCACGTGGTATGAAAATCTCGGGCTTTTATTGTCGATGGCCGAGACGTACGCGCGGTTGGCGCGCACGAGCTTGTAGTGTTTCCAAAGGATGCGCGTCCCGAGCACAGCTAGCCGTAGCAAGTCCGGGAGAAACTCGAGGAGAAAAACCAAAAGAATTTTATTGAAAATGAAGGTATGGAGTTTGACTAGGACTCCCATGAAATGTTTTGTGTTTGGGAAAGGACAATGTAAAGAAGGTTGAAACGTTTTGGAGGTTTTTGTGTTAGAAACTTTGGAAAATTAGACCTACTGATTTTTTATGAAGTGTTTTATGTATGATTTTAACTTTAAGATCGTATATTTATAAAACAATAAAAAAAATAAAAAATGTAGTAAATATATAAAATAGAAAAAAAAAAATTATGTACAATGATCTGAACTTACCACCCACGGTCTATGGTAGAATCTTTTTGACCAGATATGCAAATTAGTCAGAAAAGAAAGAAACTATACATTTCTTTAAAAACAAAAAAAAAAAAAAAAAAAACAAAAAAAAAATAAAAAAATGAAACATGAAAGTAGTTTTTACTTTTTATGTTTTGAAAAAAAAATAAAAAAAAATTGGTAGAATATTAAAGTAGTTTATTAAAAGACAAAGGGTTTATTGTACCAAATCCCCCTGTATTATATGAAATCTACGCGTTTTCCCCTCGTATTTCAAAAATTGCGTCAAACTCTCTTGTATTTAATGTTTACATGCACACTCGCCCTCTTATGTTAACGTCGTTACAAATCCCCCTGACGGCGTTACTTTTTTATTCAATTTACCATTATACTATTCCTTTATCCATGAATTTACGATTACGCCTTGCTGAAAATATGTTACCTTAAAATTAAAATCCCAAAGGTTGTAAATATGCTACCTTAAAATTAAAATTCCAAAGGTGGGGATTGAACCATGTACCTTTGAGTTAAAAAAAGCATCTCCCACCAACTAATATATTAAATATTTAATTACAAATGCGATTCTATTTATATATATCATAACGTAAAGAAGAAATATCATAACAATTAACTAGAAATAATGTAGTAATTAAATATATAGATTCCAAGTTATAATTAATTATAAATAATTCAATAATTAAGAAAATATTTTCTAACTTATAAATAATATAATAATTAAGTAAATCGATTATAAATTACTAATATATAATAATTAAATAAATATATTCTAAATTATAAATAATATTTTAATTGACTAAATATATTATAAATTAGTAATATATAATAATTAAATAAATATATTCTAAATTATAAATAATATTTTAATTGACTAAATATATTCTAAATTAGTAATATATAATGATAAAATAAATATATTTTAAATCATAAATATTCTAAATTATAAATGATATAATAATAATAATAATTATAATAAAATAAATTATAAATTTTAAAATAATATAATAATTATTTAAATAGATTTTGTATTATTATAAAATATAAATATTGAATTTTTATATCACTTATAATTTGTAATTATCATTAAGTTATGTATATTTAAGTAATTATATTCTTACTTATAAATATTTATAATAATTGAATAAATTATATTATTACTTATATCATTTATATTATTACTTACAAATGATATAATAATTAAGTAAATATATTCAAAATTATAAATAATACTATAACTAAATAAAGACATTCGAAATTATAGATAAGGTTAATTTTTTATATATTTATCATTATAATATAATATAAAATATAATATATAATATATTACATTTTAATATATATACTAGTGCATACCCCGTGCGATGCACGTGATACATATAATAAAACAATTATTTCTATAGGACTTGTACGTCTAGACAAAAAAACAATAGGCATGGATCATTCATATTTCACATCTTTTAATAAGTGGCGTTTATTTAAGCCAAAAAATTAACATGTTAATTAATATATAATTTCGTAACACGTCATACTAATATTTATTTGATTTTAGAATACATATTTAGTCATTGATATAAGAAAAAATAAAAATTTTATTTATTCTTATTCACCATATAATACTCAATTATTATTTTATTATAAAATTTATAGTCATATAATGTCATTATTATTATTATTTATAAAAGTTATAAAAGTAGTTTTCGTTATGTAATGAAATTCAAAATAAAATTTTGAGTATAAATTTTTACAAAATACATACACATGTTTTTTAGAATTCAATTTTCTCATAATAATTCTTTTTTTTTTTAAAAAAAAAATAATTTAGCAATTGCCAAAAAATAAATCCCTTACATAATCAAGAGATTTTTTTCTAATTTTCATCTTAAGGCTTTAAAGTTTATTTAACATACAATGCAATAGAAAAATATTTTACAATAAGTTCATTTTTGAAACATAACAAAAAAAAAGTAATAAAAACACTATCATAGTTAACAATAATATACAAATAATAACATGTCGGAATTTTAAAGAATAACTAATATAATTTTATTATCTAACCATCAATAAAATCATTTAATGATGTGATCATTATCTTTTAAATGATAAATAATATTAATTTTTTTTAAAAAAATATTAGTTTTATATAATTAAATAAAGATTAAAAAAAATTACTCGACAAATATTAATTATAATGGATATCAGTAAAATCATGGCATAAATTGTTTAAGGAAAAAAATTTTAAGATCATATCTGGATAGTAAATGTAAATATGTAAACATTTAATGTATATAGTAAAAAAATTCCAAATAAGGTTTGCATTAAATGTGTGTTGACTTTTCTTGCTACTATTTTTGATAAATAGGTTGGCTTTTAATATATATATAGATATAGATACTATTTATATTATAATATAAAATATAATATATATAATATAGTATATAATATATAATATATATTATATTATATATATTATAATATAGGATATTATAATATAATAATATTATAATATAGTATATTATAATATATATAATATAGTATATAATATATTATATAATATAAATATATAATATATATATTATAATGTAGTATATTATAATATATAATATAGTATATTATATTATATAATATAGATTATATTATAATGATATATATATATAATATATTATATATTATAATATATTATTTATATATAGTATATAATATATATATATATATATTATTTATATTATAATATAATATATATATATAAATAAATATTATATTATATTATAATGATATATTATATTATAATTCCAGAATGCGCTGAGCCTACGTGGCTGCTTCTGGTGCTTCGGAATCCTATTTGGCGAAAAATCATGCTTCGTAATTAGGTTTGGACAAATAATATTAATATATTAATAATCAATAATCTAGGTTTGGGTATTCCATAAATATTATTTAGCTAACTTAGGTATTTTAATATCACTTTTACTAATATAACCCTTTAATTATTTTTAATTTTACATAGTGAGACACTAAGTGACTAATATATCCCTAAATTTTGATTTGCTTCTTTCAATAAGCTATTGAATTATAAATGTATTTTAAAAGTAGATAACTTTTGTATTTCTTATCGGTTTTACATATATAATATATCAAATTAATCATCTTTTGATGATCTATCGTATATATATAAAATAAATAAATTGTATTTGTCTTTATAATAATAAAAAATAATAATATTTATTAAAATTCATTATAAAAATAAAATTATTTCTCAATTGATATATTTATATTTAATGTAGTTATATAGAGTAAGTTAAAAAATTAGTATAATATAACACAAGTAAGTCGCACAAATAAAAAGTATCATAATAAATATATAATAATATATATATATTCTTATAAAAGGTATTTAAATTTTGAAAATACTTTTTCTCATTAATTTTAAATTTTAAGAAAAAAAATTAGCAAGCACTCGTGTAATACACGAGTGTTGTACTAGTATAGATTATATTATAATGATATATATATAATATATTATATATTATAATATATTATTTATATATAGTATATAATATATATATATATTATTTATATTATAATATAATATATATATATATAAATAAAATTATATTATAATGATATATATATATAATATATTATATATTATAATATATTATTTATATATAATATATAATATATTATTTATATATAGTATATAATATATATATATTATTTATATTATAAAATAATATATAGTATAATATATATATATATATATATTATAATATAAATATCCTTTTATTTTATTTATTTACTTTTTTTTAAACTATTTAATTCATTTCAGTATGATGTATAAATATATTTATGTTCAATAGATTACACATCCACCAATATGGCCCAGTGGTTGAGTTGTCATTCCCTTCCTTTCCAACCCAGGTTCGAATCTTGTTGCCCACATTCATACTATTTAGGTTTTGCACATAATTCAAGGGTAAAACAGTAATTTCTGCAACTTTGGGGTGGATAAATGAAGAAAAAGCCGCACAGCACGCGCGTCCACATCACTTTCGTTATCTTAGACGGTTTAGGGTGTTTCGCGCATGCAAAAGTATATTACAAGGGAGCTTGACGCAACTTTTAAATTACAGAAGAATAACGCGCAGATTTAATGTAATACAGGGAGTTTTGTGTAATTAACCCAAAAGACAAAAGACAAACTATTAATTAATTATAAAAAAAGTTCACTAAGGGCATCCACATCCCTAATACATAAATTTCATTCAATCAAACTAGTACGTACCCCGTGCGATGCACGGGACATAAATATTAAATGAGTTATTTTCACATGCTTTGTTCGTTTAAGTATATAAAGCAATAGGATTATCATCTATTTTTTAACTCTTTTAGTCAGCGTTAAGTATAATAAACAATAAAGTTATAATATATTTTGCACCTCTTTTAATCAACGTTATTTTTTTAGTCAAAATATTAAAATAATTAATATATTATTTCACTAACATATTTATCCTAATTTAAATTTGATTTAAATTTGATTTATCCCTTGATATAAGAGAGAATAACAATTTTACTTATTCTTGTTCACCATATAGTACTTAATTGTTATTTTATTATACACGCTATGTCATATAAAGTCATTTTTATTTATAAAGTATTCATTTTATTTTTATTTTATGTAATGAAAAATATCTAATGCACGTTGGTATTATTTATTTATGTAATCAATTTAAAATATGTAAATAAATTTAATATTAAAT